TGTCTTTATTATATTTGATTGTATTTAAGGAATGTAAAGATCACTTGAATAATGATGATAAGTTGTGTGCGACGGCGTATAGGGCGTTCGGTTCGATTGTTGAGGTGTTCGCTGAGGATTACAATAAACGACTCGATGGTATCATTGAGGTGAAGTGTTTTATTGATTGTTCGTTTGCATGAGTAATTGCACGTGATTATTTGTATGATACATTGCAGAATGAGGTATTCAGTTTGCTGACAAGTGCTCATCATAGCGATGTGGCTTCAGCGGAAGAGATGAGTGCAGATAAAGAGGATGTAGAAGGGAAAAATGTCTTATATCATCGATTGACGTCGAATCATGGCGGTGTCAGGGACTGGTGTGTTTCAAAGGTTGGTTTTTAGGTGTTAATGCGATAATCATCACTGGCTTATTGTCATTACTTGCAGATAATGGGACTGAAGTTCATGTGTATATACTTGATAACACAACATGCGCACTGCAATGAAACTGTTATCAAGTTGACAGCTCGCGTGGTGAACTTTTTCTCATCGATTATCGAATGCCCCGAAGAGGTGTTTCATGACACATTGAGGTTAGTGATTGTAATGGCGAATGTTTAGAGAGGCAATACTGGATGCGAAATATGAATTTAATTGAAGTGATGCGGAAAAGGCACAGATGAGGGCAATGGCCGGATGTTGTCTACTGAAGATAGCATCTTGTCGTGAACTGGCGAAAATGGTCGATGTGGACAAATTCATTGGCATGTCACGACTTGTGCATGTGCGTTTTTTTGTGTGTTTCTTCGATTGAGTGCCTGTTAGATGGAATGATGATCATGCAGTTAAGGACGAGGTGGCATTCGTTCGTTTACGGTTCGTATCACGACTGATCAAGCACCTGGACGTGATGAATCTCTCAGTTGAATATATGGGCATGTTGGCTCTGCTTCCGCTGGTCGACGATCGAGATCTGAAAACGAAAATCAAGATTCTTTTGGAGAGAAATATCGCCATTCGACGACGTTTTCTGTCAAAAGCTGAAAATAGAGGTTGGTTTTTTTTGNTGATTGTTCATTTTCATAAGGGAGAAGGGTATGAAATAGATTGCTATATAAATTCCGAGCGAGGAGGGAACATATTGATTTGTGATTTGCATAGAGAATTTGCAGTGATTGCACCATATCACCAACCAGAATATTGTATGGCGTATGCGGTGTATGTTTTGTCGAAATACGAAGGGTTCACTTCCTATACGGACGAGTGTACACTTGTGAAGTTGAGAGGGTTCGTTGCTTTGTTCTTTGTTTACTTATGTGCGCTTGAGTACTTGAGTTATTCATTCAGATGTCTATGGTTTTTGCTGGAACTCTTCCAGAATACGAAGGATATGAAGAATCTGGAATTCATTCGAATCATATTCCAGGTCAGTGCAGTGCTTTATAGTTACGGACGATTAACTTGTAAATTTTGGTTGTTAATTGTAGATTGTTTCAGGATATAAAAGGTTGTCAGGATAAGAGAATGCCTCTGGAATGGGATAAAGGCTGTGAAGAGAACAAAGTTAGTGATTGCGTAGATTGCGAGAGGGTCGTGTCGTGATTGATGTATTGTTTTCATGGTCCTTTGCAGAAGATGTGGGTTCTGTGCGATGTCGGCATTCTGTTGCTTTCGTATAGAATCAAATTAAATTTCGGCGGGATCAGTGAGAAACGACCGGTGCTCAGTAAACGTTTCTTCGAGCCTATTCCAAGCAAGCTGAAGGTGATTTGCATTTCTTTTCTATAATTACTTCTTCATACCATTCTTCTACTTTTGTCATTTTTGAATATGATTACAGCATAAGATTGAAATATACGTACCGGAGAAATTAATCGAAGAGGAGAAGCGTGGAATGAAAGGAGGGGGCGCGGCTCGCCTGAAAGCTGATGGAACACTAGTCGCATCTAATACAGCGACATCGGAGAAATCTGCAGATACAACCGCTCGTTTGGTGAAACGTGCGCCCGTTAAGAAGATACGACGTGCTAGGAAGTGAGTTGCGTTTATTAATGTTGTTGTTATTTACGATCAGTGAATTTTTGAATTTTAAAAGAGCAATTTTCAGAGGTGACGAAATATTTGATGCGAGTGAGGTAGCTTCAGACGGAGAAGAGAATGAGACAACGACTGATTCAGAGGTGTCTTCGATTGCTGCCGTTCGTCAGTCGTCGTCCAAAAAAATTGATGTGTCAACTAGTAATCAGTTGGAAAGTGCTTCAAAATCGAAATTGATAGAGAAAAGTAGCTTAGAGAACAGTGGCAAATTAATGGTCACCAACAGCACTGCTAAAAAGGTTGGTTAAGAGAGTACATCTTTAGTGTTTGCAATTGTTCGAGGATTAGTATACTGAGTTGGTGGCGCAGTGGTATCGCGCTGGGTTTGGAGGATGTGGTCAATACAGAGTGGTGAGTTCGATTCCGGGTGCGATCTCTGCGCTGAATTTTGATGTGGTTGTTAAAGGAATGGAATGGAATAGCCAGTGATGAATTGCGTCATGCTAATCATGAATGAAGTCTTGTCGTTGTTTATGACTTCAGTAAACATGTTGTAAAAGAATGCAGTCTGAGGCTATTGGCTGTGCTGCTGATTTATTCTGTGCGATGTTTTTTTTTTTATATTTCCAAGACATTTATTCAGTTCTTAATTGGAAGATTGCATCGGTTTGATTCTTTTACTGCACCACTTTTTAATTGTTTTTGCGCATCTTTTTTTAGCACGCTTAGGATTTGCTCTTTTTCAATGAACAATTGTGGCTTGTAAAAATGTTAGATTAAATGTGAATATGTTAGGTTTGAGTTTTGTTGATAAGCTTCAGCTGAAAGCAAAGCAGTCGTCGCGGTCCGATAAACGCACACCAGCTCCATCTACCTCACAACCGCAACAAAAACCCAAAAAGCAATCACCCCGTTCTCCTCGAGTTACGGCAAAAACGATGTCCACTCGCATGAGTAACGATCTACGGAATGTCAGTGTTATGATATCACCGATACTGCGATCTAGTGTTGTTGAGAGCGATGCTCATCGACAGATGGTGAGTGTTTCGTTTGTTTCGTTTGGGGATATGCTATAATTAGAGCTTGATTAACAAATAAGGGAATGCGCGAGATTAGTTCGTTTTAATTCGTATTCTGTCATTGTGGAACACGTGCATTGTGTTTTGTTATGTTTCTAGAAGCGACGACCTGCCAGATTGTTATCGGCAGCACAGAAATTCGTCAGTTCAACGCCACTGGTGACTTCTGATGCTGGTCAGAAAG